CCATATATAAGACTGATTTAGGCAACAGTTTTTGAATTCTTCAAAAGTTTGTGATCAATGCCGTGGTTATGATATTTGGTATTCACTTGAAACATTAGACGCCACCCAAACCCCCCGCCAGACGAGTAAATGGGTTATGTTTCCCAGTATTTAGGGCTCAGCTTGAGGTGCAAAATACAATTTTACAACAGGTAATGAAATTTTATCACAATTCTCCTCTCTATAAGAGGCACAATCCGTAGAAACATTAGTCGTAAGCATTTTAACTCACATTTTCTCGTATTACTTAAGAAATATTAGAGGTAAAATTTAAGTTGCAATTACAGTCTAACACCTATCCTATGATACAATACAGTAGTCAATTGCATCAGAAAACTATTGAAACAATACTGATCTATAAGTTTGAGTCCATATATAAGACTGATTTAGGCAACAGTTTTTGAATTCTTCAAAAGTTTGTGAAATGTTTTTTAAATACTTTGCTTTCAATTCCCAAGTTTTTTGTCATTTATTTTGTTTTGTGTAAATATTTTTTAGTCTAATTTCTAACACATGTTTGTAAATATGTGTTTATAAATATGTCTATAAACATAAACATGTTTAAAATTAATAAATCAATAATTTAAAATACGTGACAAAACGCAGTATTTATATATAGTTACAAATATAATAATGTTTTGATATATTGAATGCAAAAATATCATTAATATGTATGATTGTATATCAATTAATTCAACAAATGATTATAATAATATTTATAATAAAATCACTTTAAATAATTAAATAACTATAAATACAGTTATGGATAAAATATTGCGCTGTTTTTGGCCTAAATGTGATTATAAGACTAAATATAAACACCATTTGAATGCTCACCAATTGGTTCACTCAGATTTGAGACCATTTAAATGTGATTTTGATAATTGTAATAAAAGTTTTAAAAGTGAATTAAAATTAAATAACCACAATAATCATGTTCACATAAAGAGATTTGTATGTGATTGCAGTGAATGTGGTAAAGTGCTTAAATCAAAATCAAATTTAATTAGACATAAAGTGCTCGTTCATTCATATCCTGATAAAAGTCATACTTATTTTAACTGTTTTTGGCCTAAATGTCAATTCAAAACAACAACCGAATCAATGCTAATAACACATCAATTAAAACATTCAGATATAAAACAATTTAAGTGTGATTTTAATAATTGTAATAAATTATACAAATATAAGCATCATTTAGATAGACATCAAAATAGCACTCATTTTAATAAGAAATATGTTTGCGATTTCAATGAGTGCTATAAAACATTTACAGAAAATAAAAGCTTAATTCGACACAAAAATAGGGTTCACTTGAATGAAAGAAAATTCAAATGCAATGAAGAAAATTGTGACAAAATATTTAAGTCAAAGCAAACTCTTTTACGTCACAAAAGCTGTCATTTGGGAGAAAAGACATTTCACTGTTATTTCAAAGGTTGTATAGAAAGTTTCAAATATCGTTCACAACTATCTAAACACAGCAATAATGTTCATAACATAGACATACCATTTGTGTGCGGTTTCAGTGAATGTGATAAAGTGTATAAATCTAAATACAATTTAATTAGACATAACCTCACTGTCCATTCATACCTGGATAAAAATAATGTCTATTTTCAATGTTTTTGGCCTAAATGTCAATTCAAAGCTATAACCAAATCAATGCTAAAAGAGCATCAATTAAAACATTCAGCGATAAAACAATTTAAATGTGATTTTGATAATTGCAATAAAGTATATAAATGTAAATCACAATTAAATAGACATAAAAATATAATTCATTTTTATAAGAAATATGTTTGCGATTTCAATGAATGCTATAAAACTTTTACAGAAAATAAAAGTTTAATTCGACACAAAAATAGTGTTCATTTGAATAAAAGAAAATTCAAATGCAATGAACAAAATTGTGACAAAATATTTCAGTCAAAGCAACATCTTTTACACCACAGACGCTGTCATTCGGGAGAAAAGCCATTTCACTGTCATTTCAATGGTTGTAATAAAAGTTTTGCTTATAAACAACATTTTAAAGTTCATAAGAATAGACATTTGGATATAAAAAACCATAAATGCTATTACGATAACTGTAGTCAACAGTTTGTTACACGTAGCGAATTAAAGCGCCATATAATGCGTGTACATGTAAAAATTTAACTATTTATATTTAACTATTTCAAATTACCTATCAATGTAAATGTACCACAACAACAGATTTGTTAGTAATATAATAAATTGGTTAATGCACCACATCTAATAAATGTACTTAATAATTTGCAACTTTTATGTATACAACACTTTTTAGCTTGATTATAACTGACCCAGTTTGCAATTCTAGTATTGTTAAAACACGTATTGAATAAATAACAATGATCTTATTTTAATATCCCATGTATTATAATTTATATAAAAATAATTTTGTAAAATAAAAAAAAAGTTATTAAAACTAATGTTTGCATTGATTTATACGGAATATTCTCTTTTGAGAACTAATATTTGTATTGATTGGTCCGAGAAATCAATACTTTAAACACAATCGCCGACAATACCAAACAAAACCCGTTTTAAATAATAAAGTGTATATTTAATTAACTTTTCTGTTTTCTGGCCCTCAAACCACTGCAAAGACCCAGTTTACAAATCACTATTTGTTACTAACAGTTATTATACTGTACTTCAATGAATGCAATAAATAATTATATTTTAAGTTTATTATCTCTCATAAAATACAATAGTTTTGGTAAACATTTTAGTGAATTATATTTCTCTGTTCAAGAGATGGATCCTTAGGCTAAACGACTGTCCGGACAGTTGTGTTGATAACACAGACGCCGACGAGAAAAGGGTTTAAATGAAGTGTATGTCTGATCCTCTTTATTAGGCATTTATACCGCTCTCGCTTTCAAAATAAACTCAATTTTTAATGTTTAATTCCACACAATTCTTAATTGCAATTACAATATCACACATTCATTTGCGATCATGAATAACACTGTAATATTTCTTATTAAATTGTACAATGTACAACATTTGTTTAATGCAATAGAACTACATAATATATAATGTATTATACATACCATATACTAACTACACTAGCCATAAACTAGCTGTACGTACACTACCTGAGTGCACGGCTGTACGTACTGTAAACAACAATAAATTTAATTCAATCCAATAAAGTATATTTTAAGGTAAGAAGTAAAGAATCTTAACTATACTCTAGTTCTCAAGTAATATAAGGAGAGAGTGAGAGAAAGGGAGAGAGAGAGAGAGAGACAGATCGGGGAAACGATAGCATTGAAAGCCAGGCATTGATTCAATATTCAATCACTTCATACAAAACAATAANAGAGAGAGAGAGAGAGAGAGAGAGAGAGAGAAAACAAAGTTTGTGATCAATGCCGTGGTTACAATATTTAGTATTCAATGACATATAAAACGCAACCCAAACCCCCCGCCAGTCACGTAAATTGTTTCCCAGTATTTAGGGATCACTTTGAGTGCAAAAAACAATTTTACAACAAGTAATGAAATTTTATTACATTTCTCCTCCCTATAAGAGGCACACAATCAGTCCTACTTTATAATACAATACAGTAGTCGATTGCATCAGAAAACTATTGAAACAGTACTGATCTGTAAGTTTGAGTTCATATATAAGACGGGTTTAGACAAAAGTTTTTGAATTCTTCAAAAGTTTGTGAAATGTTTTTCAAATACTTTTCTTTCAATTCTCAGGTTTTTGTCACTCATTTTGTTTTGTGTAAATATTTTGTAGTCTAATTTCTAACACATGTTTGTAAACGTGTGTTTATAAATATGTTTATTTCGCCACACAATGTGTTCTTCAAAAGTTTGTGAAAATATTTGCCAAATAGTTTGCTTTCAATTCCTATCTCTTTGCGAAATGATTTTGTTTTGTGTTAAAAATTAATTAATAAATTTAATTTACATAATGTTTTTGTGCGAAACAACAGACAAACTAACATTTAAATACATTTTAAACTAAATAAACTTACTTTGAATACAAATATTATTGTTTTGTATGAAGTGATTGAATATTGAATCAATGCCTGGCTTTCAATGCTATCGTTTCCCCGATCTGTCAGTCGTTGAGTCCCTGTCTTTGGCCGACTATTTCAAGTGTCGTATTTGTCTGCAAGTGTTGAACAAGACGTTAGTCACTCGATGTGGACATACCTTCTGTCACGAGTGTCTCAATGAATGGCTCTCAAGATCGCAGACAACCAAAGAGTGTTTTGAATGTCGACAACCGTTGGCCACAAGAAAGAGGGCCCGAAATCAAACAATCAGTGATAATGAGGCCATTATCGGAGGCAATGATTTTGTAAATAGCAATCCTCTCATCGATGAAATTATCGGTAAATTGAAGATCAGATGTGATTACGAGTGGAACGGATGTCCAGAAGTGTGTCCATTGGAGTCGTTGTCCACTCATCTCAAGACATGTCAACACAAATTGTGTCAAACATGTGGTCTATCTGTGGGTCTCGTAAAGGATGACCACAACTGTATTGAAGGCCTGAAGACAGACCGAAATGAATGGCAAACAAAATGCAATGAAAAGGATAGAGAATTTGATATAAAAACTAAAGAAATGGAAACAAAAATCAAAGAATTGGAGACAAAACTTGAAAAATGTGAAAAAAAGTCACGACATTTAGAAATGAAATACAAACAAAGTATTTCTGGCGCTTTGCATAAAGAATTGGTTCAGAAATGTAAGGATTTGGAGACTTCAGCGAAGACATCAACAGTTGTGGCAAAACAAGAGATTCCTTTAGCAGTGATTCCCAAAAGTTTATTCTTTGGTAAATACGAGACAAATGTCGGGTCCATTGAATTCCAGAAATACGGTATTGTTTTCAACAATGTTTTGACAATTAATATGAATAAAGAAAGTGAGACCAGAATTTGTTTGACGTATATTAACATCCAATGTCTGTGCGCTTGTGTCGAGGCCTCATCACCGATGATATTCATTATACCGAACAATAATAGCGTTTTTAGTGTTGACAAAAAAACTCATTCAATAACTGATTTACTGTTAATCAATAATTGCCGCTTTGATGTCAATTCAGAAGGTTTGTTATTTTGATAATTTTGTTTCAAACCGTTGTTTATTAATTGCATTATTATTATCTCATTATCTCTTGACATCAGATCGCAGCTTAAGGTGTATTATCATTGAATTGAGAGACGTATTGAATGAGACATTTGTTTCACAATTGTATAAGAAATGTGTGGCAAATAATAATGTCAACGTTAAATACGAGATCATAAGCCCAGACACTGCACAACTCATGCTAGAGAAGGCCAAGAATGGCATCAATTGATTTCTCGGTATTAAATCGTATGTTTGTATGTCTTTTGCCACTCATATCTTAACATAAATATTATTTGCATTCAAATAAACATTAAAAAAATTTTAAAAATAAACTTTAATTAACCAAATGTTTACTCTTTATAATTTCACTGTATACTTATTTAACTCTAAATTTGAAATAAAAATTATAATGCATTTTATTATATGGATATAATGTTTAATCAATAGAATTTTAAGTACATGTTATATACAGGCCATGCCAAAATAGAGAGGGGCTCTCATTATTTGAACATGGTTATTGTTTGACCTTGGTAATATTTTATATATTACTCACAAAAAAATGTGAATAGTATATGAATAATTTGCACAATTTTTATAGCCTTTGCACCCAATTAGCACATAGGAATTCTGTGTACATAGAATATATGGTATATTTGATAGTTCTTAAGTAATAGCCGATTACTAATAGGTAGGGAGAGAAGGAGGGGGAGAGAAAGGAGGGCACAGCTAATGTCCAATGGGATACTTATGGTAATTTGTTTTTGAATTGTAATCCTAGATAACACGCAAACTCCAATCCGGACCCATAAATGGGTAATGTTTCCCAGAATTTGAGGCAATATTTTCAAACAACAATTCAAATATAATATAGTTTATAGGATCGTTCACCGCTCTCCCCATACTTTAGGTATACGTGATATTTGGCCAAAAGTTATTTTTGTTGTTTAGTTTAGTTTTTGTTGTGAAAGTTAATCAAATTGTTATTTACTTTTAATCATAGATATAAGTGTTTGGTTTGATTTTGTGTGAATATTTTAAATACAAATAATACTAGTAGTATTTTGTGGGAAGCAATTAATCGCATATATCCTAATATTGAGTGAACAAACAATTAAAATTCACATAACATTACAAATCACATCATGTGACATCACTTTAAATAATAAAATAACTATTAATACAGTTATGGATAAGAAATACCACTGTTTTTGGCCTAAATGTGATTATAAGACTAAATTTAAACCACATTTAAGATCTCATCAATTGATTCATTCAAACAACAGACCATTTAAATGTAATTTTAATAATTGTGATAAAAGTTTTAAAAGTGAAGTAGAATTGTCTATACACAACAACCATGTTCATTTAAATATAACATTTATGTGCGATTTCAGTGAATGTGATAAAGTGTTTAAATCTAAACAAATGTTAATTAGACATAAATTCACTGTTCATTCATATATAGATAAAAATCATAAGTATTTTCAGTGTTTTTGGCCTAAATGTCAATTCAAGGCAATAACCAAATCGATGCTAAAAACACACGAATTAAATCATTCAAAAATAAAACAATTTAAATGTGATTTCAATGATTGTAATAAACAATACAAACAAAAGTCAAAATTAGATCGACATAAAAATATCACTCATTTATATAAAAAAGTTGTTTGCGATCTCAATGATTGTTACAAAACATTCACAACTAAAAGTTCTTTGTCTGAACACATAAATAGTGTTCATTTAAATGAACGAAAATTCAAATGCGATGAACAAAATTGTGGCAAAATATTTAAGTCAAAGTCTAATCTCTTACAACACAAACGCTTGCATTCGGGAGAGAAGCCATTTGAATGCGATTTCAATGGTTGTAATAAAAGTTTTGCTAAGAAAACTCAACTTAAAGATCATATGAATAGACATTTGAAAATAAAAAAGTTTAAATGTCATTTTGGTGATTGTCATAAAGAATATGCTGCGAAAGTGGATTTAAAAAAGCATATAATGAGCGTTCATTTAAAAATGAACAAGACAAATTAACTATCAATTTTGTACATTTAATTTGATTACAATTAAATACAGTACATTGTTTACTGTATTGCATCAAAATGTTTATGCTAACAGTTGTTTATAACTTTTATCTTGTAACTTATATTTATAATATAATTACTTTTCTATGATTGAAACATTATTAAATTACTAAATCACTTACAATTCACTCATTGTTAATACCGTTTATATTAAACCTTATGTAATTCAAAAAATGCTATAATATTTATATTAATAATAATTTCATTTTATTATCACTTATGTAATAAAGAGTTGTGTCAAATATTTTTACATTTATTTTTAAATAAAAATTATTAAATAGTGTTTGCATTGAATGTACGGAATATTCCGTTCCGACGAACGGCTTGTATCTCACGGTCCGAGACATCAATCCGTCGGCTAAACAATTGTCCGGAAATCGATATAAAGACAATTGTCGGACAATTCATCACTAAATTATACACACATTTATCGCTAACAAAAGCGTTACTAATGTTTATTGACATCAATTTCGGTAGTCTTGAGATGTAATCAAAGGCCATATCANTAACAAAAGCGTTACTAATGTTTATTGACATCAATTTCGGTAGTCTTGAGATGTAATCAAAGGCCATATCAGTCAGTATTGACCGCCAAGTGATGACAAAAATGCTCTCGAGTTGTGGCGCAAAGAGATGACAGTCTTTGAATGAGTTGTCATTCATTTCATTGATGTTTAGCCACAAGTGTGTCATGTGTTTGGCGTTTGGGAAACAATTTTCAAACGAGAAATATTTTTCAATTTTATAATCAATACTGTTATTCACTTTAAACTTAAACACTTTAACGCATTCAAAGTGTCTGAACGAGTGGTACAACTCTTGAGCGGTGGGGAAGTGGTGGACATACATATCAAACCTCTCTAACGTCGGGCACCGGGAGGCGAACCGTTCAAACCCGTTGGTCATTTGCTGCGCCCCGAGTGCTGCCAATTGTAATTCATTCAATTGCTGACAATTTGATAGACTTTCAAACACGAGGCCATCGATCGGGAATTGAGCGTTGAGTCGGAGTCTCTGTAAACCCGGCGTTCGGGACAATAGTGTGACCACCAGTGGGTAATCCAATGAATCTATTTTAAAGTGTATAAATTTCATGTTTTCAAACACTATTTTGTGGGTTTCATTGTAAATGTCGGACAGATTTCTGTAATCGTAATGCAATTCCTCGACATTAGGACACAGTGTTAATAGGGGTGAGGCTGTAGTAGTGAAGGCACCCGATATGGCAGGGGTTATATTTCTAATCACTTTTACATTGTTTCGTACAATACAATCATATGTACCTTGGTCGAGTACTTGATCAGGCTCTAAATTAAAACTTTTAACACGTTTGCAATGTTCAATAATTAATTGTATAATTTGTTGATAATTTTTAACACTGTATCGCATATTGTGTTCGTAATGTGTAAACCATATGTACTTAATATTTGGCAGTTTACTGATTATGGTAATGATTGTCTGTTTATTAATAGTGACAGGTGATCTATTTGAAAAGCCACCTTGGTAGATATAAAGTGTTTTTTGTTTGGCAAATATGATGTGATAAATATATAGATGATATTGTCTTTGAAATACCGTTCGCTGGCATTGTTTAGACAGACATTCAAACCTAAACTTATCATCAAATGATAGATAACTCAACAGTAGTTCACATAAATCATCACCAAATCTATCAAAACTACACTTCGGGTAAAATACAGACATTTTACTAATAAAACACAATTCAAATAATGTGCAAAAAAATTTTGTAAATTAAAAAACACACAAATATTATGTATGTTTACATAACCGCATCCATATCATTAAGGACAATTTTATCAAGGACAATTTTATTTGTATCCATAAATTACGTCCAGTATTTGATAGTATTTTTTGCCCACTTTAGAGCATATGTTTTGTCAAAAGCTTAAACACTATTTCAACGTTATTATATGACTCCCCAATTGTGCATTTGTACAGTGAATACTATTTTGTCCTTATTAAAATTGTCCTTAATGATATGGATGCAGTAATAATAAACAGTATTGTGAACAATACCAGAATCACCATCATACAAGTGTAAGTCATAAGCCATAAGTTTGTGCACTTATTCCTATGTGTCAGCACTTTATATAACGATTGAAACAAAACTTTTTAGCGCAATATTCTGATGTTTTAATAACATGTATAACAATTATTGAGAGTTAACCATGGTCAATTTACTGTAATGAAGTTTAATAAAAGTTATAGTTTTATATTAAAAAATGTTTGTTCAAAATAAATGTAAGCACCATGCTCATTTTAATGAATGTAATTATACACACGTACTCTATATTCACATCATTTATGAACATTTGGTTTGTTTCGAAAACAGGTTTTTATTTACTTTTGGTTCAAAGGTTTTGGCGTTTTTTACACGTGTTTTGGGAAGTGATTGAAGACAACGAGTGTTGAGTCCGACGAAGACATGGGTTCGCGAAGAAGTGATGTCTTGAATGACGATATCTTGGGATTGATTTGCAATGAATTAAATGTCAAACAATTAATGTCAAACAATTGTTGAGATTAGAGTCGGTTTGCAATCAATTCATGGATTGTGTCGGAAGTGCTCTCCAGAGGAAGAATGCATTGAGTGTTGGATTCGATGGCAAAGACTGTAATGAAGATTACCATTCATTCAGAGACGGAAACATCAGTGAAGACATTGTCGAGAAGTCACGAAATAAATACGCATTGAATTCAATACTCGGGAAGTGTTTGAATATAAAGTCTTTATATTTAGAAGACGTTATAATCGATGGACAGATATTATCACTGATTGTGAGCCGATGTCCACAACTCAAGCGCTTGTATTTGATTGACATTTCTATCAAAGCTTCGACCGAAGAACTAATGAATGTATGGAAACCATTATTGTCTAAATTGTCTCATTTGACTCTCGATGACGAGATTGACGACAATATTCTACACCTTTTGCCACAATTATCATCACTTGAATCCATAGAATTGAGAGATTTATACGGTTTTAATCGAAATACTAAAGAAATGCTCAAATGTTTGCCACAAAGTATTGGTTGTCTTAAACTACAAAATATTAGAAACGAGAGAGCATTGGATGTACTGATGAAGAGATGTCCGCATTTGGAAGCGCTTGAGATTTCGGTTACACCTGATTTCAGTGACATTAATTCGGATGAAGTGTTTGCCAAGATTTGCGCTCATTTTAAGCTCAAGCGCTTTGGCTTTGAGACACAGATGTTGTCGACCGAAGTCTTCATCGAAAACATCCCAAAACTCAATGAATTGAGACATTTATACCTAAATTCTGACATTGATTTCAACACAAATGCTATGCAATCGATGCCTTCACTCGAGTGCTTGCATTTAGAAAATGTTTGCATTTCCCCTAAAATGTTGACCAAATTGAGGCAAATCTATCCAAACGTAAAGTATTTACGTCTGAATCGTGTTTCCATGAAATGCGAGTGCAATGAAGAGATTAAATACACTTATTATGGCGACCGACGCATACATTGTCGACTGTGTGCACACAATTGCATGCATTGTATATCACAATTGCCACAACTGAAGCGATTGTATCTTGGTCATTTTATACGTGATTCGTGGTATATTGAATCTAATGATATGAAACTCTTCATTGAACTGAAAGTATTGTCTTTGAATGGCTGCGAAAACATCGAGGAATTGAAAGATTTTATTACACATTGTATTGAAAACAGGGTTTCGAAGAAGTATTTCAAACTAAGATTGGGTCCCAATATAAAGCACTCACTTATCAATTGTTTAAATGATATGAATGTAAGAATTCCTAAGAATATTGTCATTCAATGTAATCAATGTTCTGATATCTAAAATCCTTTCAACAAATATGTCATTTAAATAAACTTTTTGATATTTAATAAACAATAAAATTAATTGAATCTCTATTTCAGTGAATCTATAATAACACTAAACACTCAATTTGTATCTCATTTAATGACTTAATTGAAAACTTTTTTTACATTTATTTATACAATTAATATATTGTGTAAAATGCTATCAACAATTGTATTTTTGGAGTTATTAATCATTTAATAAATTAATGTAAAACAAATGTTTATTAATAATAAATTGTTTGATAAATCAAATACAGTGAGTCTTTGAGTGAGCTTTTGGTTGCTTTCTCTTTGTCTATGATTTAGACTTTATTATGTTTTTAATTATTTTTAATAATTCTTATAAAAAACTGTTTTATTTTACAATTTAATTGTCAAAATAACTGTTGTCTCAACTAATAAATTGTTTTTAATAAATAAAACTCTAATTAACTTTTAATTGATTCGTCAAATACAATACATAGACTTGACATCTAGTTTAACCATTGAGTGTTCAAAAGTTTAAAACAATTTACTAAATTGTGTTTAATTATTGAGTTTACATAAAGTTTGCATTGAATGTACGGAATATTCTCGTTTGCCGAATAGACTGTATGTCTCTATCTTTGAGATTAATTATATTATCATTGAATCCCCGATTAATATATATGCGATTAATTGTCGGGCAATTCATCACAAGATTACAAACACATCTATCGCTTACAATCCCAAACTCCAGACTTAATGACAGCAATTTCCGTAGTTTTGACACGTCATCGACCATCACATCCGTTACCGATTTATCTCTGTTTTCATTCACCGAAAAACTCTTGAGTTGTGTCCAGTGTGTGAACGCGTGGCAAATATCGCCGATCCGTACCGTTTCGTCCAAATCTAATGCAAACGACTCGAGTGAACAGCACTGGGAGGCAAACGTGTTGAAAGGCTGGGCCGATAGTCGGGTCATTGTGCCCACTCGCAGGTGTTTCAACATGCTCAATTGCGCTAAACTGGGCCACAATCTATCATTGATTGGATGCATGCCTTGCATTTCAAACGCCAATAAACCTGGCGTTCGGGCCATGAAGTCACACAA